AGGGTATGAGCTTAGAGTGACCCTCTCTGAGTGGCAGGAGCACAGAAGGCCTAAAGCTGGACTTATATAACAAATGGACTCATGAACTAAGGAACCTCTGAATAATTTCTTGGAAACTAACCTAGTTTAAGAAATTTTTATTAACTAGTGTATACTTTGTACATAGCAGTATGCCTGGTACATAATAGGTAACTAGTAATACATTTTGTTTTGTCTATCGATAGTTCTACCCAACTCATACCTCTGTACCACTAGCTTTTCATTTTTTTCTATCCCCACTGTTTATTTTAAAAGCTCTATTTTTTCTACGTATTTATTGTCACTTCCTCTAGAACTGTGTTGTCCACTACTATAGTCATCAGCCACATGTGGCTAAACTTAATGACAAAATGGAAAATTCCATTATTTAGGCACAATAGCCACATTTTAGTTGCTTGACAGCTACATGTGGCTAGTGACTACTATATCAGAGAGTGTGGATATAGAAGAGTTCTAGCACTGTAGAAAGTTACTGTGGCTAGAGCTGCTCTGTCTTGCTTACCACTTTTTTTCCCAGTGCCTTGCACAGTGCTTGGGATCTGGTAGATGTGATCAAAAAATATTTGCTGAATAAATGTTTTTAGTTCATCTGGAAAAGCCATTATGTAAATGAAAAGCAAAGATCCTCTCTTGAAATACAGATGTTTTGAATAGCTGTGGCTCTTAAGAGTGAAAATCCTTTCTTTGAAGAAGTGAAAGATTAGATTACATTTTAGGCTGTATTGTAGCTTTATTAATAGTTTTTAGTCACTGAGCACTTACCATATGCCAGGTGCTATTCTAAATGCTTTACACATACTACCTCATTAATCTTCATACCACTTTGTATGTATACTATTTCTAATTTACAGATGAGAAAACTGAGATGCAAGAGGAAAGTAAGTTGCCTAAGGTGACAAACTATTAAGCAAGAGGGTCAGAATTTGGGCCCAGGCAGTCTGGCTCCAGAGGCCAAGTGATTAACCGCTAGCTTAGCTCTTTGTGATTATTTTAAATAAAGACTAGTTAGTCTCTCTCTTTCAGTATTTAAACCTTTTTTTTTTTTTTGTATTTAATTGCATTTAGCTAGGACATCCTGAAAAATGTTAAATAATAGTTGCTAAAGCCCTGCATCCTTATTGGGCCCCTGACTTTATATATGTTTGTTCCATTTCATTCTAATGTATGATGCTACTGCTGTTTTCTGATGACTGTCTTGATCCAGTTAAGAAAATGGATCTTTCATTTCTAGTTTACTAAGAATTTTTAAAATACAGTGGATCCCTGTAGAATATCATTTGGCTTTTGCCCTTTAATTACATGAGCAGATTTCTTAAACAACCATTCTTGAAATAAATTGCACTTTGTCATGATGTGAATTCTTTTTTATTACCACACTACTGGATTTTATAGCTTAACACTCAATTTTATCTTTGTAATAAAATCATAGTAAGAACAGAAGAATTTCCCACTTTTTTTTTTTTTTTTTTTTTTTAGTACTGTTTGCCTTGGTTTTTTGGTATCAGGGTAATGTTAGCCTTGTGGAATAAACTGGGAAATTTTTCACTTGGTCGGGATTCTTTGTTTCCCTGGATGGATGTTTTCTCACACTAGCTCTCAAGGCTCCTTCCTCCTGAACAGGGTTCACCTACCGATCCCAACAAAGCCTGTGTATCATTCAGCTTTCTCACGTTCTTTGCATAGGCAGCAGACCTCACTTTCAAGCCTTTGCTAATTTCATGTCCCTTACCTTGCTAAACACTAACCATTGAGTTTGAGGTGGGAGTTAGGGAGTAGTGTTGATTATGGCAGAAAAGATCCTTTGAGGCAGAGACTGTGTTGCTATTTGACACTCCTCTCTTCATTTAACCCTCAGAATCCTGGGCTGTATTTTTATTTTGTAGATGATAAAAGAAACTTGATAAATGTTATATATTAATAAGTGAGGTGCCAGAATTTAAAACCAGGACTGCTTCATTCCAAAGTGATTGCTACTTCCACTGCCTCTCACCTCCTCCATTGTGTTCTAGGCCCTCACGTTGACCTTTATGTCCTTTGTGCTCCATTAGCAATTATAGACTGTACCACACTATTTTACATCGCTCTTGTATTTTCTTTTGTTTCTTATGTAGTTCTTGTCTCACACAGAGCAGTTATTAACTGAATAATCTCTCAGTGCCTGTTCATCCGACTCCAAATTTCGGTCTTTTCTTATTTTATAATAAAAGAGCGGGAAAAATAAAAGAAAAAGGTGACTAAATAAATAATTTTGATTGTGTTGGTCTTAGCTGTATACCGCAAAAAAAGTCCCTTTCAAAATAAGTTTAACTCTGCGTGATCGCCCAAGGGCTTTTTAGCGACCCCTACAAAATTGGTGCCTAAAAACCGAAAAGATTTGGCATTTGTGAATATTGATCATCTCCTCACCCAAGCACATCTAACAGCTGCAGGATGCTGGAAATCTCACCTACGACGGACTTCCTAACAAGGAACGCTAGATGAGGCAGGCCCTCACGACTGCGTAATCCCCCTTGCAGCCTCGGCCGGATGGAACATTCCGTACGAAAGCTTTGACAGAGCTCCCACTCAGTCACGTGGAGCTGGAGCGTACTCGCCGCGCCTAGCGGAATGACGCGAGCTCGGGTTGCCAAGGGGAGGGCCAGGCGCCGCGGAAGGGGCGGGGCGGAGGAAGCCGATCGGGG